CGCATCAAGGCTATGTGCATACAATGGGTGTGGGGACTGGAAGTAGTTACAAATACAACCAGAAAAGGAAGTAGTGGGCCTGGGAACAAAGAGTTTTGCAACCAAATACATTTGTTACCTGATATTAGGTTAAACACTCATGTGTTAGCTAGCAGAACAACAATAGTTAATTATCAACCCATCAAGTTCAGAGACCACTTAGTACTTCAGTGGAATTTCCCCATGTTAAAGCCTTCAGTACTAACACATTTAGGCGTTCCCCATTTCAATGTCAATTAAACAATTATACTTAACAGGATCTAAGTGGCTCCCCATGTCAAATATAAAACTCATTGACATAGTTTGCTGTGTGAACTGGGTTCCCTTCCCTTTGCACCCATCAGCCTTACTGATATTTGTTTGACATGCACTTGATTGAAGAGGAGTAAAACTGTGGCATGCCACAATTCACAATTTGCATGCTTGAGAATCTGTAGAGAGCGGCCAGTGATAGAAATGTTGGCAGATTTTATGGCCCATGCATCAGCTACAGCAGGGCCATCTGCAGCTGTAATCTCAAGAGCTGCTTACCAGTCAGTCTCAGAACATACTAATTGCCCAGGCCTAGGGCTGCCGTCTTCTCATCAGTGCTTCATGCCTAGTAATGTAACAGCAGAGAAACAGAAGCGGGGAAATTCATTTACATGATTTTGATTTCTGCACAAATCTTACCCTAAAAGGGCACAGCTGTCACTATATTTGTCAACATCAGCAAGTGATTATGTAAAGAAGGCCTAATTGTACTTTTGACTTTGTCTTGTCATAGCCTTGAGAGACCGATAGATGGACCACTTGGACTGTGCTTCCTAGCAACAGCGGCTGCAGAATGCAGAATTATCCTGACTTTCCTAAGCTTGTTATTTTCCCTAATAATAGAGTGAGAATATATAGGGAGAAAATTAGCCAAGGGAGGAAAAAATACTCCCGATTCCTCTTTGTTGGATTGTCAGTTTAATTTATTCCTGAGCACAATGTACCTGAGGAATGATAAGAAACAACTTTGATATCATTCTAAATAAATAAAAAGGTTATGTAACCCAATCTCTCTGGTTCCTGGAGATGGTTTCTGTTTATCCAGTTGTCGCGTAACCACTGCAGCAGTCATATAATGGGAGAAAATAGGAGCTATCTTGACTGACATATATTCGTCTACCAGGGAAGGCAAGATGTCATATAAAAAGGAGGCTTGCTGCAGTCCCTCCATTGTGGTTTGAGCTTGGCTTAATCCCAATTTTGCAGTTGAGATGGCAAACGTGTACTAGCAAAGAGAATATAGTTTCAGCCTGTCCCTCCCCGTCATGCTTCAGCTAGGCCCTCACAAACAACACAGCTGGAGCTCTGAGCAACTTGGAGTGGCGTGGGGGCTTTAAGAGGAAAAAAGCAGTTTCTGAGGGGTAGGACTTCAGTAAGCAGCAACCACCCTTCTCCAAATCGCCTGTTGCTGAAGCAGTCAGTTAAAGTGACTATGTTACCTGCATGTATGGATTGATTAATTTTTTTACATGTCACACTTTCTGCCTCAAAAGGCGTGCTCAATGCAGCTTACAGCCTTTGATAAATACAGCACAATTCCCTTGGCACAAACCTGTTCTTTGGCCCTGAATAATCGGTGGTTATGCCATGTGGTTCAGCATCCTGTTCTCACAGTGGCCAGCCTGTGGGACACTTGCAAGCAGGACATGAGGACAGCAGCCCTGTCCCCCCCTGTGGCTTCCAGCAGCTGCCATTCATAAGCATTCATAAGCAACCTCCTTAGTGATTTTCCAGAGATTATTGGTTTTTTCAAGCCTCTGACTCATTGATAGTTCTGAATGACTCATTCGTTATTGAAACAGGTATGGCCATCTCCCCCTGGCCTGGCCCAGTTGACTGAAGAACCTCAAAAATAGACAAGACGTGCATGGTTATTGCTGATCTGATAACCACAACATTTGTACTGCACTGATTGGTTAGTAAAGTACACCAGCTTTCAGCCACTTAGAATCAGAAATGCAGTTTAAAAATTCATACATAGTGCAGCAACACTGCATAATGATTTAATATAACTTCAGACTTAGAGAGTGTCCCTTTAGAGCCCAGTATTTCAGAGTAATAAGGTGGATAAAAATGAGATTATGCTCTAACTCTGGGGGGAAATCTTCATGTACCCTTTTTGTTCCCCTGATTTTAGCAATTAGTTAAATGCATTCGTGCAAATTTCATCCACCTTTCATTCTCTCTTCTTACATTTGATTTCCCAAACACATGGAATACAAAAATCAAATCATATCGCTGCATGAATTAAAACAAAAGGCTGAAACACAAACCCTTCCCCAGCCAGGTTTCAGAACGTCTTAAAACATATTTACAGAGTAAATCAAATTCCTTTCCTATCAAAAATTATTGTCTGCCCAAATCTGCAATCTGAACAGAGGCATATCCTTCTGGGTGTGCAGATAAAAAACTCTGTGGTAAACTGTTGTTTATTGTGGAAGAAAGGGGAGGGAAATGAAGTCACTCAATGATGACAAGATACTTTGTTTTACAGTTTGAAGGGAGAAGCTATATTTCCTGGATTGCTAGACTAAATAGGAAGAGATCCAAAGTGTGGAAAGTGATGCTTTTTAGGGGACCAATTTTGCAGATGACACTGACTGCAAGCTTTTTGAATGACAGCAAATTATGTAACAGAAAGACAGCTCCTTCTACCGCAGTACGCAGAGCAAGGTTATTTACTAATGCAAACATTTTATCCATCTTAAGGAGGTGGGCGGCTTAATAGCAAAACCCTTTAGCACCTTAAGTACCCATAAACCAATATATTATCAGCACACAGTGAGAGGCCATTGTAATGTGAGATGTGGGACAACTCTAATGGGGTGTGTTGGTGGAGGGCGGGAAGAGTGGGAGTTTCAAAAGTATACATTTCAAGCTTCCCAGAAACACACAGTTTGTAAACCTCAGAGCAGGTGCAGTGGAGCACTTCCAAAGGGCTGAGGGCTTATGTTTTAATAAATGGTCTGCATCGTCTAGGTAGACAGTCCCAGAGGGAATATTGCTTCATGCGGGAAGTGACACTGTGACCTGTGGTCTATTCTTAACAGAGCTTTCTCTAACACATTGCACCTGCGTGCTTGGCTAAAATCCTTACCCAAATTATTAATTATGAAGCAGTGCTAATTTTTAAAAAGTGAAGTTAAGACATTTGCTTTAATGAAAGCTAAAGTGGGTGATTTCCACGAGGTCTGTTTATAGGAGAAAGTATTTTAATTTGTTCCTATACTTATAGCATGTCCTTCTAATCTCTATATATTACTCAGGGAAGTTTACAATAGTTGAAATTTACAATCTTGCAATAAAAACAGCCATCTGTGAATGGCCCTGAGACCTCTGGGTATAGGGTGGTATATAAATTCAATAAAATAAACAAACAAATAAATTAAACACAACACGATATAACAGAGAGACAGACTCAGCAGGTCAAAGTTCACCACTCAAAAATATTATCTGCCTGGCAGGTGTGAGCTGCTGTAGCACATGAGTTGCACAAGATCCAGCACCTTTGAGAAGCCTTTCTGGTTTAGGATGTAGTCTTTTCTCAGCAATTTGAACATCAAGACATACCGGTAATTGTTATTCCTATTACTTATCCACATATCTAGGCCTGGCACAAGTACAGACGAGCCATAGTGATGTGGGCTGCTGTCTGGAATACGGTTGTTTGAGTGTCAGAGACACTTACTTAGCACTGCTCACAGCATCACTGACGAATATAAACACAAGACATGCATATGCATAAACCTAGAAAGAGTCCGACTGAATCGGTCCAAAGGCCCATCTGCTTCAGCCTCCTGCATTCACAGTGGCCAACTAGGTGCCTTTGGGAAGTTTGCAAAGAGAACCTGATGATTGCCACTGGTGGTTCCCAGCAACTGGTAGACAGAGGCATATGGCCTCCAACCACAGTGCAGGCAAACCACAGTCAACATGGAGAATAGCCACTGATAGCCTTATCCTTCACATACTTATAAACCTGACCATTACTACGTCTTGTTTTAGCAAATCCCATAGTTTAACAATGTACTGTGTGAAGTAGTCCTGTCTTGACTTTTCCAACCTTTGGCTTCAATGGATGACTCTGGGTTTTGGAATTATGAGAAGAGGAGAAAAGGTCTCTCTATCCATTTCTGTCCTTTCTCCCTTTACTCACCATTTTTTAGCCTTCCAAATGAATTTCTCCTCTTCTATGCACACACTATGGCCCTAGAACCCATATGCAGCATCAGATTTCACACGGGCATCATAGAAATGGAAGTGACCTTCCCATTCACTCATATTATTAATTCCCCGCCCTTAGGGCAAGGGGTCCTATGGTTTGAAGCAAGTGACACAGGTGCTTCAAAGAAGGTGCTAGACAACCTGCTTTTGAAAACTTTCAAGGAAGAAGCTTTCATCTACTGAATATTCTAACGCTTAGCAAAGTTCTCTCTCATGTTTAACTTGTGGGAGACAGCTGCTCTCTAGCCCTGCTTTTGAATTTCCCTTAGGCACTTACTTGGTTAGTCACTGTGGGTAACAGGATGCTGCTCTACATGGACCTTGGGCCTGATCCAGCAGGGCTCTTCTAATGCTGATGACTTGCATCTGATGAAGTAGGTTATTACCTCCAAAAGGTAACATTGATAGTGTTTCAATTGCCCCAGAGATTTGTTAAAATCTGTCGTTTCGAAAACATCACGTCTTCTTATGTTCAATAAGAAATGACCTGAGTTGCACTTCTCATGTTAAAGTGCAGATTAGAACTTGGCTGTCCGCTGGATTTTTGCACTTCTTCTAATGCTGCAATGAAATTCCCAGCAGTTTATATGTATCACAATACACATTTTAAAATATGTTGTTTCGGGAGGATGAAAATTATTTCACAAATAAATGTTGAAATGTAAGAGAATGGAATTATAGGAGTAAAAATGTGCAAAAGGGACATGGGCAAGAAATGGATGAATTTGTCTGTCCCTGCTGAGAACTCCCAGTTTGTCACTTCCGGTGCAGCGCGATCCCGTCGCAAGCGGGGGTTTGACCGAGAGGGAAACCCCGGGCTATTTTGGAGGATTAGGGGGTGCTTCAGGGCGCGGAGGCCCCCCGAAAAACTTCTGGAGGGTGTCCAGAAGGTCTGGTTCCCGTTCCGACCAGAAAGCGACCAACCCGGCCGCCAGGTAGCTTCAAAAGAAGTGAAAAGAGCGGCGGTGTTGTTCAGCGGGTCGAGGGAAGCCATTGCCGACCTCCTAATAGCGAAGCCCCGAGCTTGTCGAGAAAGCGCTACATTCTCAAAACTAAGGACTCCGGCTTCAAACTAATTCAATTTTGCTAATAACAATAACAAGGAAGCCTGGAAGTAACAGAAAGATATAAACGGAGTTCAGCTGGGAGCCGAAATCAGCCTTGACGCAACGCGACTCCAGTGCTGGGAAAGTGAAAGTGAGTTGCCTTAGCGGATACTTTGTTTTCTCCGCATTTATTTTCTCCCTAAAAGTATCTTATATGTAGCAACTTTGAATTAAGGGAAGTGGGAGGAAAAGGAGACCAGGGACAACGGGTGGGATTAAAAGTCCTTGAAGAAACGGAGGATTTGAATAGCGGAAGGGCGCTTCTCTCTACTTTTTGGTATTGAAACAGAAGGGGAGTGAAACCGGAAGAGAAGGCTCCGTCGCCATTAAAAAATTTCTGAGCGTAGTGGACTGAGAAAAGCGGGATAAATGAAAAAGAGAATAACTCCAACCACTTCCGTAGTGGGAAAAATATATAAACACTGGGTCCCTGATAATACTAAGTACTATCTTCCACTTGCCTGTCCTACGGGGGTTTCTCTGTGCGTGTGACTGAACCGTGGGAGATATACGATATCGCAGTACTTCCGAAGTAGTGCTACAGTGTTATTTTGAAGAGACTTGGAGACCTCCAGTGGCGGGATTAAAAACATCTGACCCTCAACTGCTTCTGCACACCCCCCCATCTCTCTTCTCGAGACTGTGAACCTCTCGTAGCCAGAGGATTTGGCTGCTTGGAAGAACGCAGGCGTTCATTGCAACCCTAAGCACTGCTTACTCAAAACTCACGCCTCCCTTGACTTACTCCCAAGTAAGCGGGTATACAGCATTGCAGCCTTTGCGTCCTAGGAAAACAACAACAACCCCTTTATTGGACGTGTGTTCAACTGGACACTTGGACACTTGGAATAGCCTGAATAGAGGCAAGAAGGCGTCACAACAAGAACTATATATTGAATGAATGGTATATACTTATATGGGGAAGAAATAGCTTTGTCTAGTGTCAATAATAAAAAGAAAAAAAGGAACTTTGGTGGGGAGGGAGAGACGAAGGGTGTGGAGGGGGTGAGGGGCGTTACATGGGAACGAGGTAATTTAAGGAAATATAAGAATATATGATGTCTCATACAGCGAAGAAAGGAATGAATGGGGGGACCCCTGGTGAAAGGAGGGGGTCCAAACAAGAGACAGACTCCAAGACAGATATCATGAGGATGCTAGTGGAAATTAAACAGAGTCAAAATAATTTAGAATATAAATTAGAACAAGTGGATAATAAAATTGGGAAAATGGACAAAAAAATGGATGAAACAGTTAGTGAACTTAAAGGTCAAATAAAAGAAGTATCTAGGAGAACGCAGAATGTTGAGGAAGGAATAAAAAAGACAAGATTGGAATTAAAGGATATTAAGCGGGATAAGGATAAGATTAAAGTAGAAATGATGGATTTAAATAAAGCACAGGAGGAGATGAAGGACATTATAGCAATGAATGAACTGCGACAGAGGGAAGTGAATCTTAGATTGAGAGCCGTTCCAGAGATACAAGGGGAAAATATTAAGGAAAGATTAATAACAGAGCTGGCGGAATGGCTAGACATACCAGTAGAGGAAATGGCAAAAAATGTGCAGAATGCATTTAGAATGCGTGTAAAAACAACAAAAGCAAAGAAATTCACAGGCGATTGCCTGATTACATTTAGAGATAAAGAAATGAGAAACAAGATTTTACAAAAGAATAGGGAAAAGAGGCTGAATATAGAGGGAAATTACATAATCATTTTCAAAGATATTCCAATTAGACTACTTAAACGAAGAGATTGTTATAAATCACTAGCACAGACACTAAAAAAGAATAAAATCGAATTCAGATGGGAGTTTCCTGAAGGAATTTCATTCGCTTATAGAGGCAAGAGACATAGACTATCTAACTTAGAAGAAACTGGTAAATTTTTAAGGAAATATAAAGAGCTGAGATCAGAGGAGAATGGAGTAAAGGGAGCAGAGGGAGGATCACCAAGAGATTCAAAATTAGAGGAAGGAGAGGAGTCGAGTGGAAGTAGATCAGAAGAAGAGGAAGAAAGGGAAGAAGAAGAACCAGCGAATTTAAAAGGATAAATAAATCGTAGGTGGATGTCAGGTACTATGGGGTTAAAAATTTGGACTTGGAATATTAATGGAATGAATGAAAAAAAAAAGAGGAATAAAATTGAACAATTTCTGAAAAAGAAAAATTTGGATATCATCTGTCTTCAAGAAACGCATGTGGCCAAAAGACATAAAAAAGTGTTAATTAATAAAAGATTAGGAAATGAATTTGAATCCTCAGATAAGGAAAAGAAAAGGGGAGTGGTGGTGTATGTTAAAAAAAAGATTGAAGCAAAACAAATCTTTAAAGATGAAGAGGGGAGGATGGTGGCGATTCAGATTAATTGGCAAGGTGAAAACATAGTCGTGATCGGGGTTTATGCACCAAATGGTAACAAGACAGACTTTTTCAAAAATCTAGAAGAGAAACTGTTAGATTGCATGGACCAAAAAATTATTTTAATGGGTGACATGAATGGCGTGGTCTCTTTAGAGGCGGATAGATTGAGGGAAGGAACAAGTAAAGAAGGGAAATTACCAAAATCCTTCTTCTCAATGACAAAAAGCTGCAACTTGATAGATATCTGGCGCCTCAGACACCCTATGGATAAACAGTTCACCTTCCACTCTGGGCCACACCAATCGCTGTCACGGATAGACCAGGTTTGGATTTCGAGTGAATTGTGCCCAAGAGTTAAACAAATAGAAATAAGACCGAAAGTAATATCTGACCATAGTCCGATAGAACTGGAACTGGAGAGTTTTGAAAGAAGAACTTTTAGATGGAGACTAAAGGATTACCTCTTAGATGACCAGAAGATTGTAGAAAATGCAAAAAAAAAGCTAACAGATTATTTTACGGATAACTGTGACAAGGGCACAAAGATTAATGTGGTATGGGACGCAAGCAAGGCAGTGATAAGAGGATTTTTCATTCAACAAAATGCGATTAAAAATAAGAACAGAGAGAGGGGTAAAGAAGAAATCTTAAAGCAGATAATGGATAATGAAGAAAAATTAATCCAGAAACCTAATTGTCAGAAAATAATAGAAAACATCAAAATCTTACAAGCCCAATTTGCCACAATAATAAATAGAGAAGTAGAGTGGAACATAAAAAATTAAGACAAAACAATTTTGAATTTTCAAATAAACAAGGCAAATGGCTTGCATGGCAAATTAAAAAGAGGAAAGAACAAGGTGTAATAAATAGAATTATAGCAGAGGAAGAAGAAATAACTGATCCAAAAGGAATCCGGAAAGAGTTTCTGGATTATTATAGAGGCCTTTACAAAAATAAGGAGAGAAATAATTTAAGGAGAATAGATAGATTTTTGAAAGATAAAAGGGTGCAAAAAATTCCAGCAGACAAGAAACAACGATTGAATATGCCAATTGAAATAGAGGAGATAGAGGAAACAATTAAAGACTTAAAGAGGGGAAAGGCTCCGGGGCCTGACGGATTCACGGCGGGCTATTATAAAGAGATGAAATCAATTTTGGTGAATCCCCTGAAAGAGACTATGAATAATATCTTAAGTAAAGGAGAAATTCCGGAGACCTGGAAAGAGGCATTTATCACGTTCATCCCTAAACAAGATGCAGATTTAACTCAGGTGAAAAATTACAGGCCAATCTCGCTGCTAAATACGGACTATAAAATCTTTGCAGGAATTCTTGCGAGAAGACTGAAGTGTCTATTATCAGAGATTATCCACAAAGATCAGGCCGGCTTCCTTCCAGGCAGGCACATGAAGGACAACATAAGAAATATAGTCAATATGTTAGAATATCTATCTGTCAGGATTGACAAACAAGTTATAATGATGTTTGTGGATGCAGAGAAAGCATTCGACAACGTGATATGGGACTTCATGTTGAAAAACTTGGAACATATGGAAGTAGGCAAAGATTTTTATAATGGAGTTAAAGCAATATATACAGAGCAGAAGGCCAAATTGATTATAAATAACAGTGTGACAGAAGAAATAAAGGTACAGAAAGGAACAAGACAGGGATGTCCACTCTCCCCGCTACTATTTATAATGGTATTAGAAATCCTTCTAAATTCAATCAGGCAAAATGGAAAAATAAAAGGAGTGGAAGTTGGACAAAATGTGTATAAGACCAAAGCCTTTGCGGATGACTTAGTAATAATGACGGAAGACCCAACAATTACAATGGCAGAAATTCTAAAAGAAATAGACCAGTTTGGGGAAGTGGCAGGTTTCAGATTAAATAAGAGGAAAACGAAAATGATAGTTAAAAATATGGACCAAAGCATAATAGAAACAATTCAACACCAGTCGCAGATAGGGGTGGTTAAAAGTGAAATATCTTGGAATCTGGTTAACACCTAAAAACATAGACTTATTTAAAAACAACTATGAACCGATGTGGAGAGAAATAAGAAAGGACCTGGAAATGTGGGGAAGACTGAAATTGTCGTTCTGGGGAAGGATCAACACTATCAAGATGAATGTATTACCAAGACTATTGTTCTTATTCCAGACCATTCCTATAATTAAGGGAGCCGAACCTTCAAACAATGGCAAAGGGTTTTATCAAGATTTATCTGGCAGGGCAAAAAGCCTAGGATTCAGTTTAAACTGTTAACAGATATAAAGGAAAGGGGAGGCTTTGCTCTGCCAGATCTTAAGTTATACTATGAGGCATCATGCCTTTGCTGGACAAAAGAGTGGGCAAACTTAGTGAATACGGAGCTGCTCGATTTAGAGGGCTTCGATAATAGGTTCGGCTGGCATGCCTACCTATGGTATGAGAAAAGAAAGTACATAAGGGGTTTGGAAATCATATTTTTAGAGGTCCACTTATCGAAATATGGGAAAGATATAAAAATCTATTAGAACCCAAGGTCCCACATTGGCTCTCACCTCTTGAAGCGATAAGTGTGAAGAAAACTAACATGAGAAGTAATTGGGCAACATATGGTCAACTATCAATTAAAGAAGATGGGAAATGGAAGCTAAAGCCATATGAGCAGGTTAAGGGTGAGGTGTATGATTGGTTACACTACTTCCAAGTCAATGAAAGGTTCAGAAAAGATATTAAAGAAAGAGGGTATGCAGACAAAGATTCAAAATTTCAGAAGGAGATCCTAAACAATGACGTGAAAATAATATCCAAAATGTATAGGATATTGTTAGATTGGAACTTAGGGGATGAGGAGGTCAAAGTAGTAATGACTCGTTGGGCTAAAGATATGGGCCATAACATACAATTTGAAGACTGGGAGAAATTATGGAAAGATGGTCTAAATTTTACTGCGTGTGTAACGGTAAAGGAAAATGTCATGAAGATGTTCTACAGGTGGTACATAACACCTGTGAAATTATCGAAAATGTATAAGGTATCCAGTAGATGTTGGAAGTGTAAAGAAAAGGAGGGCTCCTTTTACCATATATGGTGGGAGTGCGGGAAAGTGAGAGAATTTTGGGAAAAAATATATGTCGAACTAAAGAAGGTATTGAAGTATACGTTCACAAAAAAACCTGAAATCTTTCTATTAGGGATATTAGGGAATGAAATAAAAAGAAAGATTGTAAATTTGTATACTATGCTGCCACCGCAGCAAGGGTTATATTTGCTCAGAAGTGGAAAAAGCAGGAAATCCCAATGATAGAGGAGTGGAGATTAAAGTTATTAGACTACGCGGAACTGGATAGATTAACAGGGAAGATCAGACATTTAAGAGACCAAAAGTTCATTAAGGATTGGGGAAAATATGTGGATTATCTGGAACACATTAGTGAGGGACAAACAACGCTAATGGGATTCAGAGAAGCACTGTGAATGTTTAAGAGTTATTGTTTAAAGTAAATAGAAGGGGAAAAGATGTCCAATGACAATACAAGCAAAGAAATGCGTAACTTTAATTATTACTATGAAAGATTAACGGACAAGCTGAAGGAAGTCCAGAAAGAGATGATAATGTATAGTTTTTGGCGAAAATTTTAGTAATGTATATATTTTTTTTTCTTTTTCTTGGTTTTTGTGTTTTGTGTTGATGTTGTTTTTTTTTTTCTTTTTACTTTTTCTTTTTTCTCAAAAATCAATAAATATTTACATGAAAAAAAA